CATTTTATTTATTTTATTTTATTTATTTATTTATTTTATATCCTGCCTATCTGATCGGTTAAGACCACTCTAGGCGGCTAAAATGAAAAGGGGCAGGAAGGACAAAGCTTATTTTCTAGCTGGATAGACTTTCAGAAATAATGTTGAGCTTTAACACTATGGGCCTCTTCTTTTAAAAGTAAAATTAAAATAGCAATAGCTATCCCAGCACCACTGCCAAATTTCAGCAATGTGACAGTCAGTTTGGTTAGGGTGAACTAATGCACCCCCTTGCAATCCTAAATTAAACTAATGCCAATTCATTTATATTTTCTCTTCTGTCTGCATAATAACAATAAAATGGTGATGTGAGGTATGAGTGTTTGTATGAGTGAGAGTGCCGTTACAGGCAGAGGGGAAAACTATATTTGGCTTAGCATGTTTGAAACTGATTTAAAAATACACAACATACATGGAAGTGTGGGGTTTGTTTGGGAAGTGAGTTTTGGAAAGTGAGGTATTTTACTTGGTTGCAAGAGGGTTGTTTATTTTAAATTGCTTGTGAAATCAATTTATTTTTAATCATTTTGGCATATGTTATTGTTTTGACTTCCATGTTGCCCCTTAGTGCTCAGAGCAATCATCTGGTCAGTTTACAACATACAGTGGTGCCTTGCTTGACGACATTAATTCGTTCCAGCGAAATCGCTGTAGAGCGAAAATGTCGTCAAATGAAATAAAAAACCCCACTGAAATGCATTGAAAACCATTCAATGCGTTCCCATGGGCTGAATACCTGCTCGTCCAGTGAAGATCCTCCATACGGCGGCCATTTTCGGTGCCTGTAAAGCAAGGAATCCATCCTAGAAAACAGCCAGGGACCATTTTCTTCAGCCGGTGGCCATTTTGAAACCTGACGATCAGCTATTTGCTGGTCATCGTAAAGCGAAAATCGGTTCCCGAAGCAGAGAACCATTCATCGCACAGCGAAAAACAAACATTTAAAACATTGTTTTGCGATTGCACAAGCAATCACAAAAACATCAATGTAAAGCAGATTCATCGTAAAGCAGGGTAATCGTCCAGTGGGGCACAACTGTAATTATGTAAACAACAGACCTCTGTCAGTCTAATTTTTATCTTGGGGTCTGCCACTCACTGTGCTTCCTCTCCTCCTTCATCCCCTGTGTGTGTCTCTCTGTCTCCTTTGCAAGCTTAGTGAGAAGGAAGAAGACAGTTTCATGTGGTCAGTTTCAGCCTGGGTTCCCACCTTGGCAAACCTAGGCCATATAAGCCAAATGTCTTCAGTCAGTTTCAATCCCATCTCTGTTTCCCTCCTTTCCAAGCCTAGTAAATCTAGTCAAAATGTCTTCAGTCAGTTTCAGCCGTAGATTCCATTGCTCCTTTTCTTTCTCTACACCCTGCGGGTATGTGTGTGTCTTCTGTGTGTGCCAGGCTGCAGGGAAACCTTTGTTTTAACTTTGTCTTCTATCAGTCATTCTGTGCTAGCACTATGCCAGATTGCAAAAAATTAAAAGAATATTAAAAATAACACACCAGCAACAGCAGCTTGTGGCTGTGAGAGGCAGCCAGTGCGAGGGCGGGTGAGCACAGGATAAAACTTCAAAATGGAACAGTTCTAAAAGCTCATGTAGCCCACTTGGCAAATAAACAACACATTGCGAAAACAGATTAAAAGGTTTCCCAAGAGGATGCACACAATCTACCCCCAAAACACATGACTTTAAACTGATCCATCACCCAATTTATTTCAATAGTGTAGCTGCACTATTGAAGAGAGATGGTGCAAGAGTTTGCCATTTTTCCAAAGGCAATTGTTCTGCTTTTCTTGATCCCCAACATGGTAGAATCGACAACCCCCGATGATTTCAGTCAGGTTGTCAAGTCTGGGCATGGGGTAAGCATCTGGTTTGGTTACTAGGTTTAATTTTCTGTAATCCACACAGAACCTAATGCTTCCATCCGGTTTGTCCACCAGAACTATTGGAGCAGACCAAGGGCTAGACGATGGCACAATAATATTTTCTTTTAGCATCTCATCCAGCTCCTTGCGCACCTTGTCCACATAAGGTCCAGTTACTCTGTATCGGGTTACTGCCTGTGGGGGTGCATTTCCAGTATCTATTTTATGCATTACTCCCTTGGCTAAACCAGGCTTGTTTGAGAAGACCTGTTGATACTTAGTAAACAACATCTTTATTTCCCTCTGCTGTTCCAGGGTGAGTGCAGGGCTAATCTTCACCTCCCCTGGGTTGAACTTTATTTCCCCCCTTCCTTCCCAGTATGGCAAATCATGTTCTTCTTTATCAGCTGCTTTCATTGCAAAAAGCACTTTCTTTTCCTCTCTGTAGTATGGCTTAATGGCATTTACATGAACTACCC